CCTCAGCAATTTGAGCTCAAGGCTAGTGCCACTTGAGCCACAGAGCCACTTCTGGTTTCTGGTGGTTTATTGAAGATAAGAGTCTCATGGTCTTTCCTTCCCCGGGCTGGCTTTGAACTGCAATTCTCAGATCTCAGCCTCCTGAGTGGCTAGGATTACAGGCGTGAGCCACTGGGTGCCAGGCTATATAATATTTTTTAATGTAGAACCAAGTACTTCAAGAAGTAATTTGAGGGCTGGGAAAGTGGCTCAACAGTAGAGTGCTTGCCTAGCATGCATGAGACCCTTGGTTTGATTCTTCAGCACCACATAAGCAGAAAAAGCCAGAAGTGGTGCTGTGGCTCAAGTGGTAGAGTGCTAGCCTTGAGCTGAAGAGCTGAGGGACGGTGCCCAGGCCCAGAGTTCAGGCCCCATGACGACAAAAAAAAAAAAAAAGTAATTTGAAGTTAAAAGCCATATGCACCAACTATGTATTACATCATCTATAAAATAAACAAAAAATTAAAAATAGACAAAGTGTTTAACACTTGGTAAATGGATAGGTAAATTCTAGATATTAAAATTAGCAACTACTATGGTCTGAATTTTTGTGTCCTCCTAAAGTACATATGCTAAAACCTAATCACCAATGTGACAGTATTAGAAGAGGTGATTAGCTTTTGAGGATAGTGCCTTCAAGCATAGAATTGTTAGCAAAGGGGCCTAAGGAAGCTTATTTTCTCTTTCACCAGATAAGGACACTGTGGGAAGGTGTTATCAGTGAAATAGAACAAATCTTCACCAGACACTAAGTCTGCAAGTGCCTTAATCTTAGACTTCCCAGCCTCCAGAACAGTGAGAAAGAAATTTTTGGTTTTTGTAAACTACCCAGTTTATGAAGGTTTTTTTTCCAGCTTATGTTATTTTTGTTTTAGCAACCTGAATGGACCAAGTTACCAACCTTATATTACATCAAAGGAAAAAATATGTATCTAATGTGTTACACAAAAAAGAAGAAAATCTCCAAGGATCTCAATTTGTTTATATTTATAAATATATTAAATTCTAGTATAGAATAAATTACAGAGAATCTGCTGTGTTCAAATGGTAGAAATATTGTTCAGTTACATTTAAAAGTTTTTCTTTAATGTTGATCTGATAAATTTCTATAAGGAAAAAAAATATTTGTGCTGGTCCTGGGCCCTGAACTCAGGACCTGAAAGCTGTCCCTGAGCTTTTTTTGCTCAAGGCTAGTATTCTACCACTTGAGCCACAGCTCTACTTTAGCTCTTGGTGGTTAATTAAGAGTCTCATGGACTTTCCTGTGTGGGCTGGCTTTGAACTGTGATCCTCAGATCTTAGCATCTACAGTAGTTAGAATTAGTCATGAGGCAGCAACACCCAGCTTATATAAGAAAATTTTATATCATGCAAAATAATGTATACTCTCAGGTCTTTTTTTTTTTTGGGTCCGGTCGTGGGGCCTGAACTCTGGGTCTGGGCGCTGTCCCTCAGCTCTTCAGCTCAAGGCTAGCGCACTACCACTTGAGCCACAGCGCCACTTCCGACTTTTTTCTTTTTTGCTTATGTGGTGCTGAGGAATCGAACCCAGGGCCTCATGCATGCAATGCAAGCACTCTACCACTGAGCCACCTTCCCAGCCCTACTCTCAGGTCTTGACATCATTATTTACCAATATATAGCTAAAGGAATAGTTTTCCAAACTTTATGGGCCCTAAGAACTTAAGAGTTTTCCTGGACTCAGTCCAGCCAGATCCACTAAACCTAAATCTTCAGAAGAGGTATCAAGGAATCTTTATTTTTAAATAAGCACTCATGTTTTAGCAACCGCTAATTTAGGGTACTGAATGACGTCATGGTGACCCGAAAGAGTCAATATAACCTTCAGTCCACAAATTGATTTGCTACCCTTAAGTATATGTTTCCCATTCCTCTTTATTCCCTCTTATTAAAAAACCACAACCTAGCTCTTCCAGGCGCTCACAAGGTACCAATGTTCTCAAATAATGCATGGTATCAGAAAAAAAAATTACAGCCAGACGTGGATTACTCCATGATTTATAAGTAAAGAGTAGACCAAGATACTATTTATGCCATCTGGAGGCAGAAAGAAGAAATCTGCTTTTTTCCTTAAGTAGCATTAAAGTGATGCATTTCATAAGAGTGCTATAGAGAGTGAAGATTCACTTTTAAAAGGATATTCTATGGATTTCCTATGGGAGAGTTCCCATTATGTATTTAGAACATGATTCCATTGATAGAAATTCGATTTCTATTTGACCTATCAAAAAGTATCTAACTTTAATGAAACAAGCTAGAAAATGAATACAATTTCCATTACATTGGAATCAGTTCTTTGAAGTGATAGCCAATTCCTAAAGTAGAAAAGTGGAATTACTATCTATTAGGAGATAAAATGATCACACTATAAGTACACCAACATCTCAGAAAGAGTTATACATAGAGCATGCGTTGAGTGCTAAATAACTTTTGTTTTTGGCTTGGGTTTGGTTTGAATGTGTCTACAAGGACACATTCAAATACAATACAAGATATTAGAACCTTTAAAAGTGGAGCCTCATAGAAAGTGATTATTAGATTACTGGAGAGATTGTTATTGGTTTTTTGTTTTGTTTTGTTTTTTGGTCCAGTCCTGGGGCCTGAACTCTGGGCCTAGGCACTGTCCCTCAGCTCTTCAGCTCAAGGCTACCACTTGAGCCATAGACTACTTTGGGTTTTTTCTTTTTCTGCTTATGGTGCTGAGGAATCAAACCCAGGGCCTCAGGCATGCAAGGTAAGTGCTCTACCACTGAGCTACCTTCCCAGCGAGAGATTGTTATTAAAAAAGCAAGACCGGCTAGGTGCTGATGGCTCACACCCATAATCCTAAACTACTTGAAAGGCTGAGAACAGGAAGATCTCAGTTCAAAGCCTGAGCAACAAAGTAAGTGAGACCCCTTTTTAGCCTATAGCTGGGCATTATGGCATGCGCCTGGCCTCACAAGCTACTGAGAGGCTGAGACTGATAAGCATTGTGGTACCAAACAAACCTGTGACTAAAAGCCAAACAGATTCTATCTCCACATGGAACCTGGACCTGTGGTGTGACCCTGTAATCCCAGTGTTACAGGAAGCCTATACTAGACAGTGCCTCACATATAGGCCTAGGTGGGAAGCAAGCCTTGGTTCTAAAAGTAAGCAGTGAAAATCCCTCAAAGCCCAGAATTCAAACATCAGTACTATTGAAAAATAAGAAAGACAAGAAAAAGCAAGACCGACACCCTCCCTCCCTCTTCTCTCACTCCCTGTATCCCTCTCTCCTTTTCCCCCCTCCACACATACACACATCCCTTTTCATTTTTGGACTTACAAGGATATACCCTAGCTGAACTGGAATCTGAGATTCTCCTTCCTGACCCTTCTGTGTGCTCTTTTAATTTGGCCTAATTCCTTAGTCTTTGTCTTTCATGCCATTAATAACTTGGAAGGACATGGGCTATTGATTTAAATATGAGCCTTAAAGCAAATTATACATCTTCATGTATGAAAACATTATGCTGAAGACTCATGATCTCCATAACTTGTGATACTCATTTTTGATGGTGGTTCTGGGGTTTCAACTCAAGGCATTAAACTTGCTAGGCAGCTATATTCCCAATCCCTGTTTTGCTTTTAGTAGTTTGTTTGTTTGTTTTTTCCAGAAAGGATCTCCTGTTTTTCCTCCAGGTTGACCTAGGACATCCATGATCCTCCTACCTACATCTCCCAACAGCTGGGATTACAGCCGTTGGCCACCACATGTGGCTCATGATGTTGGTCTTGATCACTTGATTATAATGGTCCACCATATTTCTTCATTATAAACTTGTTTTGTCTTTGTAATTAATATATAATATATGGAACTTAGTTTGAGACTCTAAGTATGCTTCCCATCATATTTTAGATGCTTGTTTTAGCATCTTTTGACAATTCTTATTTACATCAATACTAAAATTTATTTTTATTTAGTGCTTTATTATAAGATGTACACCCATCATGACTATCAAACCCTATTTTTCATCATTCCCAACGCAACCATTGCACCTATTAACCATCACTTCCCTTTCACACTCTCCCCAGCATTGGCAACCACATATATATATATACATATATATATATATATATATTTTTTTTTTTTAGTTTCCTAATTCTTTTTTTTTTATTGTGAAAATACTATAGAGGGGTTACAATTCCATGGGCAAGATTTGTTTTTTTATTTGTTTTTTATTTGTTTTTTTTTAACTGTATTTTTTTTGTCTTTTCTTTTTTGGTACTGGGGATCGAACCCAGGACGTTGCACTTGCTAGGCAAGTGCTTTGCCACTGAGCTACATCCCAGCCCAATGAGTACATTTCTTATCAAGCATTGTAGCCTCCTCCTTTGTTTCCCCTTCCCATCCTTTTCCATCCTCCCCCAACCCCCCACCTATATATTTCTTGTCGCAATAGATTTGTCTAAATCATGTTTCGTGTAAATGAAATTAGACCAAAAAATGGCATTTTGTGCATGACTTTTTTCACTTCCTGTTTCTAAATGTTCATCTACGTAGTACTTTTGACATTTATTCCTTTTTGTTTGCCTAAATCAATTATGACTATAGAAAACGAATAGTGAGATTCTAACTGCAATGTTCCATTTATATTGATTATGGCAACACTGTGTTGCTCATCCTTTGTCAAGAAGTTCTTTTTTTAAGATAAAACGCCACCAGTAAAGTTCATTTTAACTTTGCCCTCGAGTGCTTTCCAATCTTAAATAAAAGGGCCTAGACAAGCACTTTTCTGGAAGTTTACAGTATCTTTTTTCCTTGCCAGCAAACAACACCTCTCTTTCCGCCCGTCACCCAGAGGCTCCACCCTCTTCTTCTGTTGCCCCGCCCCCTCGGAGGTTGCAGGAGGCGGAAGTGACGCACAGGAAGTGTTCCTGTTCGCCCTCACAGTTGGGAGGGGGGGGGAAAGGAATCAAACTTCCAAGATGGCGGCGGCAGAGGAGCGGATCGCTGAGGAAGGAGGCGGCGGCCACGGCGATGGCGGCTCCTCTTCGGCCGCCGGCTCTGCTCAAAGACAGCCCCCGGTGCCCTCGTCCCAGGCCCCGCAGTCGGGGTCACAGGCACCTCCGGCGATGGCTCCGGACCAGCAGCTGCCACAAAACAACACGCTGGTGGCGCTGCCTATCGTTGCCATCGAGAACATCCTCAGCTTTATGTCCTACGACGAAATTAGCCAGCTCCGCCTGGTGAGCCCCCCGCCGGGACCCCGCCGCCCTCGGCCAGGGGCCGAGCTCTGGGAGGGTCCCCGTCCCCCGGCCCGCAGCCCCGCCGGCGCCAGCCCGGAGCGCACCCCTCCGGCCGGAGGCTGCCCCGGGGCGCGCGCGGGGCGGCGGGAGGCGGCCGGTGTCGGATCGCGCCCCGGGGGCGCGGCTGGGGGCGCTGGGCTTCGCTTTGGGGGTGTCCTCGCGCTCCGCCTGGAAGCGGCCGCGGAAGTTGGGCTTCCCATCTTCTGCTCGGTCTGAGCGCGAGCCTTCAGCCCCCACCCTTCCCCCGAGGGGGTCTCATCGCCTGCCTTTATTATCTATTTGTGATCGACCGATCAGTCGATCGATCTGTATACCGCCTCTCCGTCCCCCGACGGAGTTGGGGGGGGGGGAACTCACAAGTAAGCCGGTGATCCCCGGCAGGCTTGGTGTGTCTTGCAAGAACCACGTATTGTTCCCCCATCCACACAGGCTTGCCTGTTGGAGAAGATGAGGTAGGGGTTGATCCATTTCACCCCAGTAGAAGGGTCTGAGGAAATTAGAATGTGTGTGTGTGTGTCTGTGTGTGCGTTGTGGCTCTAACCCCAGAGCCCTAGTTGACCACTGAAGTACAGCCCTGAAAAACGACCCTTCTGGCTTTACCTCGCCCTGACACATCGCATCCAGTGAAGCAACTTGCCCCTTGGCCGGATTTTTTTTTCTCTCTTGCAATTCTTTTTTTTTTTTTTTTTGACTGGTGCTGTCTTGACGCCCACCCGTTAGCAGTAGGAGAAATTTATTTATATCTTAAAATCACAGTTGTTTATTCCAAGCCTGAAAATAATACCAAATTTGCCTTCTGAATTCCACTTCAGCCCAGAGGTTTCACTGAAGGTTTGATAAATGTCTTACTTCAGACAGATACTCTGCTTCCTTCGCGTGTCACCATTTATCTTTAAGTGGTCAGGAAATTGAAGGAGGTGGACATTTTGAAGTGATTGCAGAGCAGTTTTGTGTAGACACTAAATCTACTTGAGATTGTTTGAAAGAGGACAAAGACATATCTGAACGTGCTATGCATGTCATTTTCTTATTAATCAAAATATATCTTAGTATGGTTTACAACAGTTTGACTGTAATTGCTTTGTTAAAATATTTGTTTTAAAGAAAGCTTATCATTATTACCTCAAACTGATGGGCGTTTTTTTTTTCTAGTCAGCACAACAATTCGACCATGCCAGCCATACAGCAAAATGCAGAATTTCTTCCATTGAAAATACTTGACAATTGAGTATCTCTCATTTTTAAAGCGTTTCATCCTAGTAATTAATGTACAATCTTAAATACTCTTTTATATTTTTTACTATAAGTCATGTTTGACCAAAATTGACAGAATTTCTGCATGAGCATAATATTTGAACTGAGCCAGTCATCCAGACAATGGCTTTGTAAAGCTTGAAATGTTTACAGTTCTGTTTTGAAAGTATTGAAAAAAACTGACTAGTCATTTTTGGTTTTGAGGGGTTTTGTTTCTTTTTGTTTGGGGGGGAGGATGAAACTCTGTGACTTGTTCATGCTAGACATGTAAGTGTACTATCAGTGGCCCTCATTTTACTTTTTTTGAAGTTAAATCATGTTTAGAGAGGGAAAAGCAGCCCATGCTAGGAGACAAGAGTTAAAATACATCCCACAATTTTAATAAGTGGTACATTTTCCAAATGCAATTGAAATAATTGAGTTGCAGACTTAATTTTTAAGCAGTTATCTCTTTTGGGCTTTTAAGGTTAAAGATTTATAATTTCACATATTTTCCTTAGGAAGGTTCCACCTCCCAGAACAGATTCTACAACCAGTTTTAGGTCTGCAAATAGATATTTTTTAGTAATAAGGATTCTTTTCCTCCTTTCTTTACTTACAGTTAATGAATGACTCAGACTAAGTCGTGGGAATTTAGAAGTGTTTTGGGTTTTTCATTGGTTTGGTTTTTTGAATGTAAACTTACGGTAACATAAAAGAAAGATGTGCTTGTCGCTAGGTGTCAGCATTAATTTAACCATGATTCTTATATGAAACTGACAGAAAATACTGACTAGTTAGGTGCTTTATGTGTTTTCAATTTAAATGGCCATTTATATGTAAAGAATTATTTGGGGGAAAATGATTTAAGTATATATATATGATTAAGTATCCATTGTATGTTATAACATAGTTCCTTTCACTATATTTCCTTGGGTAGAATTAGGGCTGAATGTGCTTGAACTGGAGTGATATTAAGAACCAAATTACTTCCCATAGAGCTAAATGTCAACGATTTTGGAAGCTGATGAGCTGTTTTGTTCACATGTTTTGTTTTTTTTCTTTCCAGTTTGCTAAATTGTTTTATTATATAAGAAAGGACCTTGTTCACAACTGTTGTTAGCACTTGCTTAAGAGGACAGATACACTTTACTGGTTTTTCAGTATTTTTCTTTAAAGGATTTTCTCTTAGGTTGAAGTTGCTGCAATAACATTTTCAATTATTTTTGCAAGTTAGTTGTTAATAGGATTTTTTTATATTACCAAAATAATTGAAATTTCACTCAGTCCAGAATTTGAATCTCAGTCCAGACATTTCCAAAGGACTAGCTGAATGCCTCAGTAAATTGGATCATTTTCTGTCATTGTGTTCCAAGAATATATCCAAAGCCTGGAAATCCCAGGTATAAAGAAATAATTTTAAATATTAACTCCTCCAATGCATTTAAAATTTTAAATACTTTTGAAAGATAAAACATGTACTTTGAGTTCTTTTCCCAGTAAAACAAATTTGTGCTGATAGAGCTTTTAAGTATGCCACCTGAGTTCCTTAACAGATACATGAGAGACTTTGAAATAAGTGTCAAAGTATAAGAAGTTCAAGCCTAACTTTGAACCTGTAGCTTTGATTCATAAACACAAGCTTCTTGTCTACTGTAAAGAACTAGGGAAGGTTTTAGAAGGTGTTCCAGAGACAGATTAGTAGTTTTTCTCCCATGTTTCAAATGGATAGGTATAAACTTAATGGAATTGTTAGTGGTTAAGAACAGGAATTTGACTACAGGTTAAATTGAGAATTCTTACTTATTAACTGGAATGAAATTTTCCAATCAGCAACAAAGTATATAAAGTCATGCTTTGTTCCAAAATGTTTGTCTTTTTAAACTGTTATCAATAGTTTAAACTGAGGTGGTGGCTCACACCTGTAAGCCCAGCTACTCAGGTGGTGATTAGAAAGATTTCAGGTTGAGGCTAAGCCCAAGCAAGGTTAGCAGGACCCCATCTCAGCAAAATAGTGTGATGGTACATGCCTGTAATTCCCATAATTACAGTAGGATTGCTGTCTAGACCTTTGGTAGGGGGAGGGGAGGTTAAATTAAAGTGAGATGCTGCCTTTTTGAAAGATAAATCAGAAAGATCTGGGGGTATGCTCAAGTGGTAGAGGGTATGCCTAGCAAGCAGAAGTCCCTGAGTTCAAGCTCCACAGTATTGGAGAAATAAAAAGTTTGAACTGAGGTGTCTAATAGGCACTTTAATAATAGGTTCTGAGTTACATGAAGAAAAATCATTTCTCAATTTATTTGAAACTGTAGAAGCACCAAATGAACACCTTTTTAAATACTGGTTTCCATTACACTACTTTCTTGGTACTAAGATAGTTTCGTTTCATATTTTAACTTTTGTAAAATCAGAATATATCTGCCACTGCATGTGTATTATAACAATACTTTCCCCCCAGGAGAGCTTTACTTACAGCATGCTTTAAAGTCTTTTAAAATCCAGAGTACTATCTTTCAAGGTGGCTAAAAGAAAACTATGCTTTGAGTTACAGTTATTAGACATCACCTAGTGTGACCCACGCCGTCAAGAGTGAGCAAAATTGTAGGTTTCCCAGATTTGTAGTGTAACTAATTGTCTTATGGTATTAAGAAAGACCATCAAGGTACACAAATCTAAAAAGATTATAACTAAATACAAGTTAACAATTAGGTTAGAGCTATAAAGGATAAACACAATTTTTTTTAAAAAAATGGCACTCCTGGGCTTGAACTCAGGGCCTGGGCATTGTCCCTGAGCTTCTTCTGCTCAAGAATAGCACTCTACCACTTGAGCCACTGTGCTACTTCCAGCTTTTTCTGTTTACGTGGTACTGAGGAATCGAACCCAGGGCTTCATGCATGCTAGGCAAGCACTCTACCACTAAGCTACATTCCCAGCCCCAAGAACAAACAAATTTTAAATCCTGAATAAGCAAACTGAGAAAAAAATAGATGTATTCTCATATAATAAAGCAGCACCTTAAGGACCTAAATAAGTATCATTTTGCATAATAATTTATTCAATAGGTTCTTTTGAGATTTGCATGTTTTGTAATTGTTACTAATCTTTTAGTACCCTAATAGTCTGTTAAAAGGAGAGAGGTGTACATCGAAAAACTTATGACATATAAAGCCTCGTATTTTAAATTTAAAATAGATTAAACTTGATGAGCATATTATATAAGGGGATCCAGCTGGGTGTTGTGGCACACGGCAGAGTTACATACTTGTTTGGCAAGTGCAGAGCCCTGAATTCAAACCCGGTATCACTTTAAAAAGAGAAAGAGAAGAAATGTGGTTTTGCTTTGCATCATAATATTTATGTGTTTTTGCATTGGATCATAATACTTAAAAGGTAAAAAAAAAAAAAAATACAGGCTATTCACTACAACAGTAGTCACATTTCTTGTTGTTTTTTCTTTGTGTTTCTAGGGTCAACCATTCTTTTTAACTGAGACATAGTATTACATACTTTTTTTTTTTTTAGGATTTTGTTTTGTTTGAGCCAGGGTTTTGCTGTGTGTCTGTGTGTCCCAAGCTAATCTAGAACTCATTATTAAACCCAGGGTTGGCCTTGGACTCAGCATCCTTCCACCTATGTCTCAGATTGCTAGAATTGCTGTGTCTTAGATCACTAGAATTGCAGGCTTCTATCACAATGTCTGGCCC